CAAATATTGTTTTCAAAAAGTTCAACAACATTAAAAATATCAACTTTTACTTAAAAAATGTCCCTGAGTCACGTTATACTTTTTTGAATATGTACTGACCTCTTCTTTCAGAAAATAAAACCAGGGAAAAAGATTTAAAGAAAAAAAAGTACATTTTTGTACACACACAAAAGGCCAGTATTTTTCCTTATATGTACAATCAATATTTTATTTGATCATGAATTATTATTTTAAAAGCTTTAAAATATTTACAATAGATTTATATTTGATGGATAATATGTTCTTATACCAACTATGGTTATTGAAACAAACTTCAAATAATTTTATTCCTTAATTTTTTTTTTATTAATTATCTTTGCTTCCAACAAGGCTGCAAGCACCCACTAATTAGTGTTGGAAGTTAAAAGATGCAAATTATATGAATCAGGAAAGCAAGATGAAGGAAGTGAATTCCAAAGAACTGATGGTCGAGGAAAAAAACTAGACGAATAAGAGTTTTTGGAGCACTTAGGAACAGTAACAGAAAATGGATGAGACTTAATTGAATGACAAGTAACACTAATTATAATGATTGTTTATTTTAAACAATCATTATAATTAATTTTTTATTTCATTTAAATTATTAAAAACATTGAAATAACTGTGGTTAAATTTCAAAATTAAAAAAAAAAAAAAAAAAAAAAAGCTGTCAGTTAAAGTGTGTGATTAAACGCCATGTTTGTCCAAGTCTGGTTTATATACAATAATTGTTTAACTTAAAACCATATGTGCAGTAATTATTTAGATTAAAACCCATAAAATATAATATTATAAAGGTATATACAATTTTTGATGGTACAAATAAAATATATTTCAGATGAAAGGTAAAGAGCTTTTTCGTACTAAAATTCGAAAACAGAAATCTGAAGTGGAAGCAGGTGATTCAATAAAGCTCGCTAACAAAAAGGCTAAACTTTTTAATATTGAAATTCCAAATAAAACAGAGTTAAAAGCCCTTTTTCCTGAAAATACAGTGCCAGCTAGTAAAGATGGAAGATTCAAAAATA